TCAATCCTTATGTCACCTGTGTCAGGTCTCTTACACTGGCCTGTGTGAGTGTGGCACATGTACTGTTAGTCTGGCATTTTAAAATATGTATTCCAATTTTTTTCCCATCTTTTTTCAAGGTTCAAGAAAATTATAAAAACAAAATTACTGCAGTTTCATCCTCAGATGAAATCAAACTGTGTCTGTCTGTGAAGATTTACCGAGGGAAATATTGAACAATAAGCAACTATATAACAAAGAATAAATATAAGCAAAATAATAGATAAGGCTAATGAAAAACAAGAAAATAATAAAGGATAAGAATAATAAAATCAGTAAAGTGACTTATGATACAAACAATTAAAATAGTATGACATTTGTAAGATAATACATATGATGATTATAGTTTAAGGCGACATGATAAAGAAATAAGATCTTGTCAGTCTGAGGAGAAGTTTGTGGTTTTTAATTGTGATTTCTGAAAAGCAGATCGAGGTCAGAGCATTTGTTACTGAGAGACTCACTGAGACAGTATGTACGAGTCAATATGGATCAGCAGTGGACAGCATATCTCTGTCTGTCTTCTTTTTCCAAACTGTTGTTTTAATTTTGCTTTTCCCACTTGTCACTTTATTTTGCTGTTTTCTTCATCTTGCAGAGAGCAAACACTGAGGCGTGCTGTGTGTGTGTGTGTGTGTGTGTGTGTGTGTTTAAAAGTGTCGTAGAGCCATTAGATGAGAGACTGCTCCTCTTTCACTCAGTCCTTCAGGGTAACGGACTGAAAAACCAGATCAATGTGTCTCGGTGCAGAGATAGAGAGTACAACAGACACATGGACACAGGTGGAATGAGAGGAGCAGATTTAACGCTGGCAGAGAAACTGGGACATTTGAGGGTGGTGTGGGAGTAATGAGGTGTCAGACTCAGAAAAGTCTCATTGGGATTGGGCTGCGTCTTGGGGAGGTTGATGTGTTGTCAGCTCAGCCTGCACAAGCGGTTGGTTTGTGGGGAGGAGACCTGATTGACTGGCTGCCTGACTGGGGACACTCCACTGAATCTGAATGCTCCATCTCTCAGACAGCACCGGGGCGAAGAGGACTGTACTCAAGGGATGATGGGTAATAAATGACTGTGAGGGGGTCGCCTCGGGGCCGACGGTGACTGACAGCCAGCCAGGTTTGAGCAATTTGTACGTGCGTGTGCCTGGATGCTTGAGAAAATGTAGGAGGAACAAATGTTTGTTCCAACATGAGACGTTGTGTGTGAGCAACAGACATGAAAGTTATTGAAGTCATGAAGCAAATGATTCAAAGATTCAAACTTATTCCAGACAGTTGTGGGTCTGAGGGCTGTGATGTATTTATCTTTTATTTTATTTTCGGTTTTGCCCTGTCTGTTGGTTTGTTGGTTGGAATGAGCAGCAGGATGCCACAGAGAGAGAGAGGATCTATAACTGCAAATGAAGTGAAAGCTTTCAGTGACGTAACAGAGACATTTCGTGTTTTTCTTTCTTGTGACACGCAGCATCAGCAGAGATTTGTTGGGGCCTCGTGCCTTCAACATAAAGAGGGAGGGTGAGAGTTTCATTACATGTCCGATGCGTCCCCGTCACATACCTGACAGTGTCTGAATATTTCTGTGAGTCTGGTACACAGCAGCCTTTCACTGTCTAGAAATCCACTGTAATGCAGTCTTTCAGGTTCGACTCAAAATAGTCACTGTGCTCCCCGGGTGCCGTTTGTTCCGTTCACTCTCAAACAGCGTGTTACACCCCGGCCACGTGTGCACAGATAAGATGATGAGTTATCTGACGCTCTGACTAATTGAAAGGATGCTATAGTGACAAATTGTGGCTGGAGTAGTTTCTGCAGGGGAAGGTTGTCACAGTAGCACACAGCCTAAAGGGCGAAGAGGTAATAATGTCCTATAATTGTCCCACTTATCCATCCCTCAGTAAATGGAACTGAATGGATTAATGAGTTCACTATTCTCCTGTGTGTTTTCACAAAAGCATCTGAAATGTACATATTAAAGAATTAGTCTGGGGTCCCTCTGAGAACAAATCAATTAGCTGACTGATCCAAACCTTCAAATATTGTTTTAGTTATTTACTATATTTACATGGACACCAATATTCCCAGCATTGACCCTGTCTAGAATAATACATCATTTTTATTATAATGTTTGCACGAGTCACGAATAGAATATTCAAAAGACCATTTACATGTTGCAGAGCATAACCCGATTATGGCTCACGTCATTTCCTCCATTTCGATATTATAGTGTCTGATGTTATTCCGGCAGTTTTCAAACCCCAACCTGAAACCCATTCAGCATTTTTTCTTTCTTTTCTAATTTTGCAAAAGCTACAACTCACCCAGGGCATTTGTTGTCAAGCACTAACTATGTTATGTCAATGTTGCAAAATGCAGTGAAAACTCCCAAAGGACAATTTAATGGGATTAAGACATATACATGTCTACATAATGTGATTAAGGTCAGAATATTCCACATGTCATGATGTGATTATTGCTTATTCTGAATACGACCTTATTCAGAAAGTGCTGTTTGCATGGTAATGTCTGATCTCTGACTATTGACCTTATTCTATTAGAATGTTTACATTAGATGCTAATAGAACATTCCATCAATATAAAAGAGCAAAGTTGGATTATGTCATCAGTACGTTCACTATGTCATACCTTTTTGAAAATATCGCTATTGTGATGCTTCTGCCCATTAAAACTCTTCATAATATCAATTTCCTTTATAACATGCAGCATAATATACAGTTTCTCCCTCACACTCAACATGTGACTTCTTCATCCTATGCAGAGGGCATGTGTTGTCAATCCTTTGGTAACTGTTGTATGTCGATGTTGCTGTGATGCTGTGAAAACTCCAATATGACGTCATAATGCTACGAGGACATACACACATATATACTCCACATGTCTTATTTGATTGTTGCTTTTTCCATGTATGATTGAATGTGTCTTATTCTATTGTATGAATGGAGTTAGTATCACAATAATGTGAATCCATGTGAACATTGTCGTTGTTGTTACAAAGCTGTGTGTGTTGAGGTATGAGTGCAGCTACTGTGTGTGTGTTGTGGGTCGGCAGTAAGAGTATGCTCGGATCGTCTGGCCTCCACAGTGACTCACAGTCGTAGTTACCTCGGCCCTGGGAGGAGCTGCCTGGATCAGGTTAGGCAGGTGAACAGACAGAGACGGGTGCAGCTCCTCAAACAAGGTGTGTGTGTGTGTGTGTGTGTGTGTGTGTGTGTGTGTGTGTGTGTGTGTGTGTGTGTGTGTCTGTGTCTGTGTGTCTGTGTGTTTGTGTGTGTTTCTTTACAACAAAGACTAGTCTCAGCTGCACATGCGCCCTCTGACAAACTGGGAGGGCAGGAGTTGTTTTGGTATTTACCGGCTTGAGACTTTTCCTCTTTCTTGTTCTTTGGACTTTGGATATGTGAAACTGAACAGTTGGAGGTGAGGAAATTTGTTTGTTAACCAGCTCCTCTCAGAACATATTGACTGATTATTTATCTCATTCTGTTTTGAATCATTGTAAAGTTTACTCACAGCTTTTATTGACAGCCTTAGCTCATTGTGTCATGGTTTAAGTTATTTACTTGTACTTATATTCATGTTGAATGCTGACATGAAGTGTTATTTTACTTGGTTTTAATTTAGAAAAACTGTGAGCCTCGGCGCTTCTCTTTCTGCTGTGTCATCAAGTTTCTGTTTGGTGTTAGGAGGTCTGATATGAGGGTTTCGCTCTCAGGTAACCATGGCTATGCTAAGTTCCCATAGGCACTGGCCCCTATGTGTCCGTCTTCTACCGCTGTTTGTTTTTCCCATGAACGACCCCGGTCGGTCTTGGGTCACAGAGTTCTTCACCAGGCAGTCGTCTGGCTGAAGGATCTGCTTGTTCACTCGATCACAGGTCAAGGTTTTCCTCTGACTCAGCCCACGAGTCATCTTGGATTAAGAGGAGCAGAAACCAAAGCAAGACAATACTTGTGTTGCTAGGGGCCAAAGTCAAGTTAACAGAGTGAACATAAAACCTGTACACTGTAGGATTTTCGATCCTCTGAGCTGAGAGAGATGTTTGCACGGCACATCTCTTCCTACTGCCTGCTCTCATTCCTTTGTGGTGCAGACATGGTGGGAAAGCCTGCAGTGTGCCACATGGTGGCACGCCGTGTAATAAGACTCATTACAGACTCAATTGTCTCCTTCCGCTGCAAAGAGCACAGCTTGAAACCCCAAATTAGATGTGCCGGGCTTTGTGCTTCCAAAACAATTCAACACATAGAGGACAAGTCTGGCAATATTGTCAGCAAAGATCCAAAGAAAAGACTAGAACCAGCAAATCCTCTGTGGCAGATCGTTTCATAGATGTTCAGGAACTGTTAAAAGACATTATGACACTGTTCCGTCATCACCTTAAACCTGGGCATTGTAGTTAGATTTTAGTTCATGGTAGGGTAAACAACCTTTAGCTCCACAAATCAGCAGCTGAAGATAGTCCTCAAGAAATACACGTTTGTCTGCAGTTTGAGTAACGTTCCACATCAAACATTCCCGACTGGATGCAATCGGAGTCGGAGCAGTTGACTGCCCATCACAAGTTAATGGAAACGTGTCTTGTGGCTCACAAACAATTTCTCTCTCACTTGAGCTATTAACGGACAGTGTCCAGAGAAGATTAGATGTAGTCGGTCAGATACAGGCCTATCAGACAGCGAGAGGGAATCCAATCTGTCGCCTGCTGCCTGAGGATGGGTGTCAGGATCGATGCTGCAAAGCTTCTCTGCTCCTCTGCGCCCCCCCCTGCTCTCTGTCCGAGGGCGCTATCCTGAGCTCAAGGTCGTTCACCTTCAGTTCTATCACTGCACAGTGCACACAGTTGCATTGCTGTTAGGATTACACTGGGTTGTGCGTGTGTGTTTTTAGACGAATCCAATTATATTTTGATCAATACCTGAATATTGTGTTTCTTCTCCTCTGCAGACCTCCCTGCCTCTGCTCTGCAGTACCAGTGTGGATCAGTGGACTACCTGTGTTCTCCACAGCTGGTTAAGAAAAGTCCGACCCCCAGACCATGTCACGACAGGCCCGCCATCAAACCACGGCCCCAATCCTCCTCCTCACCCAGACCGCAGACCGCACAGAAACCTCAAGGTAAAACGCTGTGACATATTGCGGCCCCCCCTTCAAGGCCGGTTTTGACATTGGTGCTGTCATTATAATTGAAAGGGGCAACAAGATCAAACCGCTGGGATCGAGCTGTAGGTTACTCTGCTCTGACAAACACTTTTCTATAACGTGGTGCGTGTCAGCGGACTGACCTCACTCTGTCCCTCACACTGCTCGGAGGTCACCTCTGTAAGAGCAGCTGGTGTAAAGCAGGGCAGGAGCTCCCAAGTGTTTATGTTTGAGTAATATTTGAAGGAAGCGAAATAAAACAAACTGAGGCTCACAACTATTCAACGTTTGCTGGAGGAACAGATTAAGAATGATCAAATAATCGTATAATAACTTTCACCAAAGAGGTTATGTTTTCACCCCTGTTCATTTGTTGGTTGGTGTGTTTGTAAGCAGGTTTATATAAAAGCTTACGGGATGGATTTCCCCAATACTTAACTGAAACAATGTGGTGTGAGTCAGGAAAGAACCTTAAAATGTTGGTGCGAATCTGGTGCAGATCCTAAAAAACTCCAGGGGGTGGAGGTGTTTGCTCTCCTGAGTGAGTTGTAGTTTTACTATATATTGCCAGTGTTGTTAATCATGAGTATTCGATCATAGTAAGTACTTTATTAAAGATGAAAGGATCTAAACGGAAAGTAAACTTCAACATAGATGTTTTAAAAAAGTGTTGGTCCACCTCAACAGTTTCAGTGCTCTTTGGTAAAACTCTCAAGCTTTTTCCTCATCTCATGTCCTGATTGATGACAGAGAGCTGCAGTCTGACACATTGTTCCACTGGGGAATTTACAGTGATATAAAACAGAGAGAAGCCAGTGCGACCTCAAAATGGAGGAGCTGTGACATTTTTGGTTTGATAAGTGACTGCAAGAATTAATCAGATCATTTTAATGTCTTGTGATGAATCAACTCATGCTGTCAGTTTTATCCAGAACAGATGATTCACACAATTTTCATGCTAATCAAACAAATCAGTGGCCCCTCGTCCTCTGTGTGCATTCATTATGTGTCTCTGCTCTTCCTGCATCCACACAGTTCCTGAGCAGTGTTCTTACACCAGTTTAAATTATATGGTTGTAACAATGAAAGTATGTCATCATGTCACACTAGGTAGGAAACACCTTTATAAAAAATGTTAAATTAATATGCTTAAAGACAAGGGAATGATTATATTGTTCCATTTTGCACTGCACAGAAAGAACTACCATATAACTGAGCACAGTTCTAATCCTCACAGTTTAATACGTGCAGTATTTCCCACCTGACAGGATGAACTTCCTCTCCAAAGCGTTTATATTCCACTCATAGCTCATCCTTTGAAAGCAGCTCTGTGAACACTGGCAGGGAAGTAATAACCAGGGTGCAGGAAGTTTTCAGGGGCAGGAACTAAGGTTGGACCTCGGTTGTCAGTGGTTAAAATTCTGAGTTCCTGTGGCCCTCGAAGGTTCGCTGGAAAAAAAAAACCTGTGGTCAGAAAATGTTGATGCATGTTTGCACATCCTTTTGTTTTGCATGTTTTGTTTGTGTATGATTGCACACTTATATAATTCTATATACATCACTGCATTCAGCTACTCCTAATTTAATCTCGAATGCTACAAAATAAGAGTAAAAGCTGAAAGTTATGTTAATGCATTTTGAAATTTCATTTCTTACTTGCACAATATGTGTCAGGGTAACCACAGGTACAAAGTCTGAATAATTAATCACCTGGTTTATCGCTACATTGTTGGAACGTCTATTCAACATCTTTTCTGTTAAGTGACTGCCACAGAGGAAGTGCTCAGAATAAGAAGTATAGCTTATCATTTCCTTGTTTTCTCACATTAAAGTGAAGAAAAACATGCAAATTAAAGACTAGACAATGAACTTGTGTGTGCAGGGATGCATGAGTTCTGCTGCATTTTAAAGGCAGCGCAGTCATTTCTCTGCCGGTGCTTTCATTTTAAATTAAGTGGAACCACGGTAGCTTCACGTATCTCAGCATCCTGTTCTGAAATAAGGAAGTTGGCAGCTGAAGCTCAGAGTTGTTTCGTGCTGTACACTGCACATAGCGCTCTTTCCTGGACTGGTTTTTTTTCAATTTGGAGATCTTTTGTGTGTTAAACGAAAAACAAGCTTCACACACAAACTCAGCCATGGAAGTTTTTTCTCTCGGATTTATTCGTGTTACCTGATTGGTTTTGTTAATGTCTGCAGCCTCACGCTTCTCTCTTGCTCTTCTCTTCTTGCCTCGTCTGGACTTCTGCATCTGTAGTGCCCCCTAAACCTGCGCACCTGCTCGCGCTCGGGCAAGACAAGAAACCTAAAAGGATCCCCCCAGCGCCTTCCAGGCCTTTGCCAGCACCCCCTCCTCCGCCGAAACCAAAGCCGAACCTGACCCCTCCTGTCCTGGGAGCACAGCCACAGCGGGAGGCCCAGAAGGTGGGGCTGCTCATCGAGAGGTTTGAGAATTCAAGGTGAGGAGGACATTTTATCAGAAGCTCAGTTTTTTAATCAGATACATTCTTTGTGATGTGCTTATGTAAAAAAGACGTTTCATTATGTTCCATATGTCATGTGGATTCTGTTGCTTCAGACTTGAGAATAAAACCTTTAAAAAGCTTTTAAGTATGATTCCAGTGTGAGGTACAGTGCAGTGCTCTGATTCTTCGCTTTGCTATGACTGATAATAAGCTCTTTTTAAAGCAGATGTGACTGTGTCTTTTACTTTCCTAGGGTCCCAATCCTGGGGGTGCTCCCACGCTCCCAGCTGCACCTGTGCCTGAGAATGGACGCTGCGAACGACATCAACTCCTCCTGCGGCCAGGACACGACGGCGAAGGCTGCAAGAGACTCCGAACAAACTCCGGAGGTATCTGAACTTTCCTGCCTGGCCTCCATGCACATCGACGGTTCTGATGAGGCTGCGCTGGACGAGTGTGCGGAGGACGACATCACGCACGGCATCGGTTGCCTTGACGACGTGGAGCGGGAGGAAGGCTCCTCCCATGAGCTCCTGGACAATCCGGACTCCTCGGAGCAGAACGGGAAGATTCCCAACCGGGACAGCGGCATCGACAGCCCGTCATGCGCCGCGGACGGGGAGGTGTTCCCAAACGAGGACGCCATCGATGAGGAGGATCATTACGACAGCGTCACGGAAACGGAGAGTGTGTCCTGCTGTGTTACCCTGGGCAACAAGCGAGACTCAACGCAGGATGAGGATAGTGACTTGGACGAGGGGAGTAGTGGGGAGATGCACCCTCTGACAGACACACAGACTGGGTATATAGCAGACACAACGTCAGAGGCAAACAAAGTGAGTACCTCACATTCTTAAGCCTCATCAAGTCATTACCATAAACCTGAACAACCATAATTTAATATCTGAATAACCCCTCTGTGAATCAAAGGTGGTCATTTGCTCTCTGTACCCCCGCACCTTCACTTTTTAATTCATGTCATGTTGCATCATGAGTTTCAGGAATTTTCATTGCATGCTTAAATTCAGCTCATCGAGCTGGTTTAGAAGCCTCATGTCAGACAGTCACACTTCCTTTCATGTAGTGGAAAAAGTAGCTAGTATCTATTATTATCATCTCAGGCTGGGTGAACAGTTTCAAAGAATAATTCTGCATGAAACGCTAGACACCGCTGCGGCCTCAGTTTGCCGGTCACAAGTGACGGGCTCATATCTAAAAGCAGCTCCATCGTTCCATAAAAGGATGAATACCTGCCTGAGAGCTGTAACAAGAGCTTGTGAGGGCTGAGAGATGAAAGAGCCCAGAGACAAAAAAATCTCCCAACAGATGATCTTCAGTTTCAGTTTTCTCTTGTCCTTCACTTCGACTATTGATTGTAAACAACACTGATACTTAAAACTCTGCACACACTCTTCCTGATGGTGGCCTATATACAGTGTGCGGCATCAGTGCTTCTGTTACTGGAGACGACAAAGTTCTGATACAAAAAGTCTTCAAATGTAACCGATTGCAGAAGTGATGGCAGGAATATGAAACGATGTCAAATGAGAAAAGACAAAAAGCTCAGGTGAGCAGAAAATGTTTGACAGCCCGATAAACTCAGAGGGCAAAGTTTTATTACAGCAGCACTGATGTAGATGTAGAAAGTATCGTTACCACGGTTACTGTCTCTGTTTCAAAGCTGTTCAACTCAACCCAAACTCACATGAAAGTCACATGGACACAGAACACAGGTCTGTGCTGACTGGCCACAGCCAGAGTTGTTCAGGGAACGGTATCTCCACTCTGCAGTGCTTCCTGATGCCAGCCCTGCTGTGTACAGGAAGAGTGTGTGTGTGTGTGTTTTTGCACATGCATGTGTGTGTTTTTTATAACCTTTTCTGGCATAAACATTGTTCGGAGGACCAGGGGACCTCACATGGGACATCATCCCAGAGCTCCTGGTTATGGATAAGAAGTTTAAAGTGGTTAAGGTTAGGCATGAACTGCAAGGTTAAGGTTTTGATAAAGCCGTCGACTATGAATGGAAGTCAATGTAAAGTCCTTATAAGGGTAGCTGCATGTGTGTGTGCATGCATCCCTAATGCTACAGTCAACATGCTGAAGTTGTATGATGAAAACCATGTCACAGAGGATGTGGGTTTTCGGGCGTGTGCATTGCTAGAGGTTAAGAGGTTTAAAAAATCTTTTGCTGCCTGCAAACAATGAGACATTTTGAGTGTCACTTTTTGATACACTGCACAACATGTGTTAGCAAATTCACCCTCCCGTCTCTGGTACGTGCATGTCTGTTTATGTGGGAGATGACTGTTGTGAAACCAACAATGTTGAAACAGGCCGAATGTTTCATGACTCTGATGTGAGTCCAAGCGTCACTGAGCTTTATCAGCAGCATTACTTTTGTTTTGAATCATACAGAGAGAGTGACGGGCTCTTAACCTTAACCACATCAGCTAATAACACACCACTTCACTTCAGAGGTTACATCTGCTGCACTGAACTAATGACAGAAATAGAGCTTTGTGAACGTCACACTGAATCTGCTGCAGATGTTTGCTCAACTGTTAACATCAAATCTGCTGTTAAAAATGTTTGTTAGTCAAAAAATCCCATTGGAACAAAAGACCAAAACTGATAATACGTTGATCCTCTTAACTGCTGAGGGAGGTACTAACAAAAGTACCCTTTACACCCAATTGACTTATGTGGCTTAGAATATAATATATATATATTATATATAATAACTGTTCGGAGTAGAAAAGAAAGATTCAATAAGAGTTTGTCCAGAGTGAAGCTGTAACAGAAAGACACTGATCCAGGCAACAAATAAATAGAACATTAAAAATAACTATATGTTAAATAAAACAATAGAGTAATAGACGCTGGTTGAAATCTCTGCTTATTAATGACATTGTCAATCAATCACTCGATAAAAGATTCATTCTTCAGACCATTGAGGAAGAAAAAACTGATTCTATTGTATGACCCGTTTAACGCGGACCTCATGGTTCTCAGTTTGAAGGTTCATTGTGACTTGTGTTGAATCAAAGCTTCGAGCTCACAATAAAGCAAATGTCACAGTGTTCAACAGATACAAAAGGATGATGTGCTCTGTTGAAGCTACATCAAATAAATGGATGTGGGACAACGGCTTTAACTGAAAAACACGAAGGCCACACAGCTGAACAGAAATATCTTCCCTGACAAAAACAGCCCTAAACAGTACCAGTGGGTACTTTTACTTTGCACACATATTGTTTGTATGTTCTATTAGTTCTTAAATCTTGTGTAAAAAAGCCTCAATGATTCAATATTTTGAATTTAAGCGATGTGTTGATTCTGGTGTTTGTCGTCTCGGATGTAATTCTTGGTGTTTGTCTGTTTCCCTCAGTGCTCAGAGGCTCAGCGACTCCTGAACATCGCCAAGGAGCTTCTCCACACTGAAGAGGCCTACGTCAAGAGACTCAACCTCCTCGACCAGGTAACACTGGGCCTCTGCGTGCGCCTCCTTCTCCGTCAGTGGCGTTGTGAGTTAAATCAGGGTGTTCGGGTGCCTCAGGTCCAGATTTCAATCTTGTAAGGGAGCCAGAGGTCTTAGAGATTGAGATCAGATCTGTGATCCACTGGACAACAACCCCTCCTCTGTTGACTGGATTACTCAGAGCCGTGTAAACACAATCATGTGAGAGATTGTGCGTGTGTGAGTGTCTGCGTGAGGGAATGTGGTGTGTATTTATAAATGTGCAGCACGAACCCACACATCTGCACTAAGTGTGTGTGTGTTAATCTTTAAAGGGACACATACATGAATTGGTGTGTGTCTGCTGCAGTGTCGGGGCCTTGCAGTGTTTTTGTGTGAATCCCGTGGATTAAAGATGTGTGTTTCCTGACTCTTAGCTGAGTTTATAATTAGAAAGCGTTTCTGTGTTGATGATGCTGCCCAGCTATCGACATAGAGAAGAAGGCAGAATTCTTTTCACACTTAAAATCTGCACCATGCAGGAAAAATAACAAAAAATAAATGTATTAAACATAAAATAAGAATCATAATAAAACTTAATCCTAAACTGTGTAAATTTACTTCATGTTATAAGCTTAATTCATGTAATTTTTTTGTATTAATCTCTATTAGCTCCTATACACAGGCTTATTTTCTTTATGAGTCTATTCAGACATTTTCAATAATGCTCATTGCAGTTTCTCATGGTGGAAGTTGACATCTTCAAATCCTTTTTCAGTGTTTGTATTTAGTTTCAGCCTGTGTTTGTGCTGAGACTGTAGTCGTGGTAGTTGAGTCTTCTTCCTCTTTGTTCGGCTCATGTGATGGAAGAGATGCTTGACTGCCCTATCACACAACAGCTTTATCTGCTGCTGAAGGCCACAGTTAACTTCCTGTTTTCACATGCTACTTTCGCGCCAAACTGATACGTGTTGAAACAACAGCGCCCACTCGTTGTTGTGAAAGAGAGAACAGAAATGGTTGGATGAGGATAGCAGGACGCAAACAGGAAATGATCCCCGGGAAAAGAGAATTCCAGTATATTTATAGTGAATAGGATCGGTACATAGATTTGTGTATGTCAATGTCCGTCAGATTATTTTCAGCAGTATCAGAGGCATTTCTGATGCTGGTATCAGAACATCTCTGTTTATTGAGCAAAATTTCCAAACTTTTTTTTATCTCCAGCTTTTTCAAATTTGATGAATTGCTTCTTGTCTCTGTTTTATATTATTGCAAATCTGTTTTTATCGGCTATAAAATACGGATAAAGAAATGATTGTCAGTGAAAATAATCGTTACTCTCAGAGGTTTGCATTGGGTCATGAATTATTTTCATTATATCAGTGACATTGTCGACAGTTGCTTTACAATCCAAAGTAAACTGGGAGTAAGTTTATATTTTATAGTTTATCTGAGTGTCCTACGATAACAAATGAGCAGCGAGGCTTCAGCTGACTCATATCTACTTACTGGTCTCACTTAAAGCCAAAGCTGGAGAAACATTTATGTTAAAGTGGACGAACAACAACACGGAAATGTCTGTGTCTCTGTTTACCTGCATGCTCCATAAACATAAGTCAGATTCAGGGTGTTTAGAAATAACTTCACTAATACAGATGTTGTTATGTTTCTCCAGGTATTTTGCACTAAGCTCACAGAGGCTGGAATCCCTCAGGACGTCATTACAGGGATCTTCTCCAACATCTCCTCCATCTACTGCTTCCACGACAAGTTCCTGCTCCCCGAGCTCAAGACGCGGATTACAGGAGAGTGGTAAGGACGAAGCTTTCCCCGTCAGTATGATGCTAATCTACAGATGGTTTTGGCTCCGTTAGTGTTTAGTTGGGCTCGTTGCTGTTGGCCGAAGCTCTCAGACAGCCGGGCGGCAGCGGGGGGGGCTTCTACTGTCAGGTTTTCAGTGCTCGGTTGTGTGTTTTGATGTGAGTCGCAGATGAGGGCATTTTCTGTCTCTTTTTCACAGTAAGCAGGGATTTTACCTCCAGTGTGTGTAATCTTGCCAGCATCAGCCCTTGATAGATAATGACTCCTCTAGAGGCCGTGTTTAGGGAAATCACCTGCTATTTTCTGGAACTCATTGAAATGCGTTGGCTCAGATTGGAGAAAAACAAAAGACTTAGAAATGATTACACACCAACAAAAGACATCTACACAACAAGGCAGAGAAGTGCACCATGGGAAGAAAGTTCATGAAAGGGATTGATTTGTGCAAATGTTTCTGAGATTAGTCACATTTTTTATGAGCCTGCTTTAGTTTCCTGCTTAGAAAGTAAAGATGTAATTGAAACACCTGAAGGAAACTTTCAATTACCAGCCTCAAACTGCAAGGAGATCTTATCTCCCAGCATGCAGTGGGGATTTTCTCTAATGCCTCACACTCGCAGTATTTGCATCTATATGGTTTACTTCGATAATTAACTTCAACAAGATATAAAATCCTGCTGCTTCTTCTCATGAGACAGAATAAAAACGTTTGTATGTGTTTGCTGCAGGGACTCAAACCCTCGTATCGGAGACATCCTCCAGAAACTGGCTCCGTTTATGAAGATGTATGGAGAGTATGTGAAGAACTTTGACCGATCGATGGACCTGGTTAATACCTGGACGCAGCGGTCTTCACAGTTCAAGAGTGTTGTCCAGAACATACAGGTATATAATCCTGCTTCTCCACAGAGTTTTCTGTCCAGCGAGTATTTCTTTCATCATCTCAATCTCTTCTTCAACTGCATTTTTTTGTGGTTAATCATTTCAAATCTTTTATTTTTGTGATGGAATCATCAGAAACAGGATGTGTGTGGGAACCTCACGCTGCAGCACCACATGCTGGAGCCGGTCCAAAGGATTCCTCGCTACGAGCTGCTGCTCAGAGACTACCTGAAGAAACTGCCTGACGACGCCCTCGACCGGAAAGACGCAGAGAGTGAGATACTTAACCTGCACGCACAAACACACTTAAATACAGCGTTCAGAGAAATCTTACCACTCCAGTCCACTCTTCCTGACAACCTGTTTATCTTTGCTTCAACTTTGCAAGATAAATATTTCTTAAACTTTCACCTGTAGGCTGCAATTTTCTGTCTAAACCAGACTGAGCCAGAGAGAAAATAACCCGAGCCCGACCTGAATCTGACAGAATTCCAGTTTTTGGAATAAAAACACATCGTTACCTGAAAGAACCTGTTAACAAGAATAGAAGAACACATTTCTAGATGAGAGTGATGAGGAGGGAATAGTTTATGAACTTGGTTGAGCTTTTTTTCTATTTCTGGAGCTAAAATAGAAGTGCTACCATTCAGCTAAAGCCTTGACAATAATTAGATGTGGCCTGAACACAAAGAGGTCAACAGAAAGACCTGAAAGAGGGTGAACCGATGCAGAGCCACATTCCAAAGAGCAGTGATGAAGAGGAGACACGTCCACTCGAGTTGATAATGAACATGTGTGTTACATGACTCCATGACTGTACAAGGGCAGGAGGAGAAAGTGGAAGGGAACTGGTGGTCTTTGAAATCGGATTGTCTGAGTCGGTATCTGTACCTCCGACTGTGTACACACCCGCTCCGGTTGTCAGAACGAGATAAATAACTTTGTGTGAGAACAGTCACCATGTGACTCCTCGCTGCTCCACTTTCATTTCGTGGTTCTATCCATATCCTCACATTTTGCACAGAAACATGTGCAATGTCACGTATTGCAGATAAGACAGAGATGAGATCAGAAAACAGACTTTCCTGAAACTACTCACAGTGCTTTTAAGGATGTGTTTGATTTCTCCCTGGCTCTTCCCAGACAGTTTATTTAGAAATTACCAATGTGCAGAGAAGATGCTAAGTGAAGGCAAACAGTTGTGTGATGGTTTGGCATCACGGTGTCTTCCATCATGAATGAGCCCACAGAATTCATCTTCACTAAACTTTTAACCTTGCTTTTATTTATTTATTTTTTTACTGTAACTGCAGTCAGTTAAATTACACACATTATCCTGATGTTAGCGTCACTTCACTGGCTCCTGGTAAACTTCCTGGTTCATCAGTATTCTACTGAAACTGTACATGATCAGTCACAACCTGACGTCTTCATCCAAAGATTTGCTCGCCATTCTACAAACAATGATTAGACCCAAGGATGTGCTTTTTTCTGGGCTTGTGGTCTCAACTTTTAAAGTCACCTTATAATACCAAATAAAAATAAAAATAATTATTATACTCTTATTGTAATTATTATTATTTAATCCAAGTAAATGATGTATATTATATATTTATATTATTTATGCTCTATACAATATTTATATTGTTGGAACTGGTTCTTTTGCCTTAGTGATGCTCTGGTTGATTTCGCCATTGATTTGGATCCAGGTCATTCACCAGCCTCCTGTGACACAGTTGGACAAGCACATTTCACCCTGATGCTTTAAATAGACCTTTGAGCTGTGTGTGTACTGTCATCCTCTGCGTCATGACACACTTCATGATGATGTCTGACCTTTTATGCCCACAAATGAAATTAATATACTTAGGAGTCCAGGGGAAATGGGGGGTTTCTCATCCTGTTCCGGTCTAAAATCTGTTTTATCACAGTTGTCCTGGCCTCATTTTCCTAAAGTGTGTAGCTTGTGTTAATGTAGGCCTCTGTTAAAGTGGCTGATTCAGGTGTTTTCTACTGGGCTGAAATCCAGCTACTGCTCCGAGGGTGTTTAATGTGAAGAGCTTGCACTTTTGGTGCATTCTGATCATGTGATGGTCGGTTTTCCTCAAAAGTCATCTGTGTTCATTTTGTGTTACAGAGGCGCTGGAGCTGATCTCTACTGCAGCGAACCACTCCAATGCAGCGATCAGGAAAATGGTAACACTCTCTTTCACACAAAGCTTTTCTCTTTTTTCTTTTTCGTCAGTTTCAACACTCTGTCGCCGTCGGGTTCAAGTTTTGTAAAAACCAGCCACATCGACCAGCAAATCATAGAGGTGCTGATGCCACACTGTCTGTCAGCAACATTGCAAGTGTCTGTCTGACGGAGTGAAAAAGTTGAATTGGTACAGACAGGAAGTTGCCGTTTCCTGCCTTGAGTTTCACAGCTTGCGGAAGCCCTCGTTTCTTCAACACTCATCCACCTCATCTCTTTCCTCCATCTGGCCATGATAATGTTTCTCACGTCTCTTAAACAATTTAAGCACGCAAGTTTATGAATCAATAAAGAAATAGAAGAAAGACTTGAAGGAGTGCTTACTCCGTCAAGGCCCAAGAGTCCCCTTGTGAAGCCACATTTAAAGTCACTAGATTTTTACTTTGATCTGCACCAAATTGCACATACTCATAAATAACAGTCACCCTGATGTGTCTTATTTTGAATTGGAGAAATCCAGGAAAATGTGGAAAAGGCAATGTCAAAGAAAGTGGGTGGGGAAAGAGCTGCACCAAATTCAATGGGTTCTTTTTTTTTTTTACCAAGTTTTGTTGTAACACGTCCAGTAGTTTTTGTATAATCCTGCTAACAAACAAACAAACAGATAAAGGCTGAGGGGATAATTCCACGAGTGAATGGAGGCCTTAGCTGACAATAAAATGACTCCATCTGCTGGCGTGTGGCTCACAGCTCTATCTTGTCTTCTCACTCTCTGGCATTTTTCCTCATCATACTGTCGCCTCGTGTTTTCAGGAGAAGATGAACAAGCTCCTGGAGGTTTACGAGCGGCTCGGGGGAGAGGAGGACATCGTTAACCCTGCCAACGAGCTCATCAAAGAAGGACATATCAAGAAGATGTCAGCCAAAAACGGAACAGCACAAGACCGATACCTCTACTTGGTGAGAGGACTGCAGTGTTTAATTAGAGAGATAAGAGAGCTGGAGGGTGTCTGTATCTTTCCATATTATTACCTGCACTGTTCATCATCTTTCTTTCTGTTTCTGTCCCTGCTCCAGTTCAACAATATGGTTCTGTACTGCGTGCCTAAACTCAGACTGATGGGACAGAAGTTCAGTGTCAGAGAGAGGATTGACATCGCCGGCATGGAGGTGCAGTGCTGCTTCTCATCCTTTAAAATCACATTCTTTCTCTCAAATTTTTATTTTTCTCTGTGATAATTAAATGACCTCCGCCTCTCGTTCTCTCAGGTGCAAGAGAATGTGAAGCAGAACCTTCCTCACACCTTCGCCATCATCGGCAAGCAGCGTTCACTGGAGCTGCAAGCCAGGTAAAGATGAGTCAGTCATTCCTATGGAAACTATTATATATATTATATATCCTCCGTTATCTATGCCGCTGATCCTTTAAGGGGGAGGTGGAGCCAATCTCACCTGACATTGGGCGAGAGGCGGGGTGCACCCTGGACAGGTCGCCAGTCTATCACAGGGCCGATATTGTTAACCTAACCCCAATCTGCATGTATAAGGACTGTGAGATTCAAACAGGCAACTTTCTGTTTGTGAGGCAGTGCTCACCACTTTCCCACCATGTTGCCATGATCACATGTATAAAATAAAATATATAAAGAACCAGTAAATATTGAAGTTATTGAGTACATGCTAATTCCAATGTGGGTTTACATCTGGCAAAATCATTTCATCTCGTTTTATTTGTTTTACAGGACAGCTGACGAGAAGGAGGATTGGATTCAGGCAAGGATCTGACACACACACACACACACACACACACACACACAC